CGTTCGATTACTGTATCAAATGAAGTTTAAGTATCTCCTTTTTAGGCAAATAGGCTGTACGAAGAAGAAAAACCAGCACCAGCGCCTGCGCCAGCGCCAGCTCCCACACCTGCACCATCCAAACCTACAACTGCTGCTGAACCGCAGAGGCCGATTGCTCACGCCCATCACAGAAACAATGCCAATAATGTCAGGTAAAAAAAAATATTTGTGCAAACCTGAGCACTATTGTTAGATTTTGATTGGGATTCTTAAGCTTCTTCTTGACTGAGGAATCCAGCTATAAACTCCAGCTCAGACCGTATTCTTAGTTGACCATGAGCGTCCTGAAGTACGGCAGAATGTACGGTCTGGGCTAACTTTGTTGAAATTTTTGGCCACAAAAGGGTTGTGGGAACTGTGGATCATAGCCCTATGCCGCCATGTCCTAATCTGATTACCTTTGAAAAAAGTTAATTTTTTAGAGTGTTAAAAGAAGCGGCTTCTATATAAAAAAGTTTAGGTTTGTTGGTCGGTAATATTCTCTGTTTCAGGATGAGCTCAGAAGAATTATATATGCAGGATAAGATGAAGCAAATTCGGATATTCTTACTCCAGGTAAAGCTCTAATTTTGACCTTCGATATCATTTATACTATACTGTGCGTGTTCCGAGAGTTTCTTGGGAGTCATTTCGTAAAAAAATTTTTGCAAGCAAATTCATCAAATAAATTCCCAATCAATCTGTCTTTTCAAAATTTTTCAGGCTGATTACCGAGCATCAGCTATGGAAATGCTCAATCATGCTACAGGACGAGCCCGATCCCCTTGGACACAAAATATTTCCGATGGAGTCATGCGGCTGTCTATAGCTAATGTACTAGTCATGCAACACAAGTAAGTGTCTGGATCACCTTCGAACCAGTATGAAACGTCGAACTTTGTGGCGCACTAGACGACGGGTATTTGGCATTTGGTGCCGCGTAGGCAAAATCCAAGAATGTCATGCATAATAATAACAAATAATTAGTGGTTAAAACAAGTCAAAAAGAATTAAACATGATTACTGCGATCATGGTGAATGCCCATCCACTTTCGTTACGTTGCACCGATTGCCAAATGTCCTTCGTTTAGCGCGCTGCTTAGGCAGCGTCCCCTCAAACTGGTTGGTACCGGAATTTTATAACTTTGTGTTGGCGGACGCCCCAACTAATCTATCAGTAGAGCTTGGAGCGAAAAAGCGCTTCTAGAAAGCCCAAAATCC